AGAAGGTAAGCAGATTCATTTGAAGAAAGATATAATATAAGACTATTAAATTTATTATTTGAATTAGATTTGGATAATTCTGTAACCTTTCTCTCTATTCTTTGATTAGTATATGCTTTGTACTATAGTGTTGGTTAATTAAGACAAAAAATTCAAGCTTCTCATTAATAATACCAATATTATTGTCTATTTCTATATTAAAATTCTGTGATTGTCAGATAGAACCAAGTATTAAATCTAATTGCAAATATCTATTTAAGAAATTATTATCATTCTCGATCTAGAAATAAAAAATATAATCAAAAAATATAATCAAAATAAAAAAAAACTTAATAAAAATTAATTCAAATAAAATAGTATAATATATATCATTCTTATCTCAGTTAGTATACTAAACTTATCCCAAGCATTAATTTCTGTAGCTGCTGCTGATATAAAAATACTTTCAGTTATTTGTAAATTATTATTTCTTTGAAGTTTAGCAGGTTGTTCTTCGATTTCATTTTCTATTTCAATCTTATCATCATCTAGAATAGCTACAAAGTTATGAATTCGTGTATTTAACACTATCCCAAGAATATCTCTAGCTAATATAGTGGCTTGTTTATAAGTATGATGAACAATTCCTTTAATATTATTATCTAAAGGCCAATTTCGCAAAATATCCAAATTTTCTAAAATACTCAAATCTAAATAATATGAAATATACTCTAATAAATATTAGTTTTTTTTAAAAAAAAAGCTTTACAACATTTTTATAATAAATTATAGTATACTAACTAATACCTGTTGTTTTTTTTCTCTTTGATTTAAAGAAGATTCTTTATATAAGCATATAATTTTTGGCATTAGAGCTACTAAATTGTTAAATGAGAAGTTAGAAAGAAACTAATAAGCCAAGCCAAAAAAGTGTTCACATCCTTTTGAACTATATTTTCATAAAGTAAAAAGATACTGAGGATAAAAATCTTAATAGATGATTGTTAAAAGAATCTAAATTAAATATAGAAAGTTATATAATCATTATGATAGTAATAATTTATATAAAATTTATATTTAAATATCATAGATTCAGAAAGATTTGTCAAAATATTAAATATTACAGATGCTATAAAATTCTTTTTAATACTCATAAATCTGAATAATCTTGTGCACAACTTTGAATATAGCTTTTCCAATAGTTTTAAAAAAAACCTAATATAACCATTCTGTATTTTTCAAGTAGTAAAATTTTATAGATTTTAAAAAGCATCAATTAATTCACCTATAATAAAAATTACTGATTAGTTAATTTATAAAGAATAATAATCAGATTTTTTAAAAATTATTTTAGCTAATTAAAAACAAATAAAAAAATGAATAGCCCAGATTTTTTAATATCAGCTTGACTATTTATATTACAAACTTGGCTAAGAAATAAGAAACAAAAGTCGATAAGCAGCACCATTATTCTGGTAGTCAATATCTTTTTTATATAAAATACTTTCTAGATTTTTTTTAATTCCAAAACTTGATCATATCATACTGAATATTTTTCTAGTGATAATAAGCGAGCTCCGAAAAAAGTGTATTGCAACAATCTTTTTTCTCATATAAGAGATTAATAATATGAATAATAAAACCAATATTAGGGTAAATAAGACAACTAAAATTAATATCTAAAAAGTAAAATTCAGAATAAATTTAGTTGAATTACTGTAATTATATTAAATTTGTAAAATAGTATTTTATCTACTATAAAGCTTGTCTTCAAAAACTAATCTTTTTGATGTCTCTAATTGTATAAGTTGATTTTGAGCATTAAACTCTGCTAAGGCTTCATCAGCACCAAATTCAAGAACTTTAAGTTAAAGTTGGGCTGCTATATTAAGTAATTTTTATGTAGATTAAAAATACTTATTGCTGTTTTTTTTCTTTGATTTGTGATCATTGCAATAATACATGGCAAGAATTTTAGAAGAAAAATCTATAACAATAAATAAATAAATATAATAGTAGTTAAGCTGTTTTTTATTAATAATTTTTTATATACTTGTAATAAGTAATTTGAACTTAAAAAGCAATAGCATTATAAGATTTGATTCTATCTACAATTTGGTATACATCTTTATATGTAAAAACTCTAGTTAATTTTGTTAAAAATATTGACTTGACAATATAACCAAAAAGGAAAGAAAATCTAAGTCTTTCTTTAATTTTAGTATTGTCTGACATTATGATAATTAGATCAGCATATTTAATCATATCTACAAGTCTTTTAACTTGTGCTATATTTTCAAAACATAACTCAGGATCATGAAGGGCATAATGTAAGCATATTCGATATAATCTTAAAATTTTATATTTATATAACTTTAATAATAAAATAAAAATATTAAATAAAAAATAAATCATATATACCTAATATTTTGAATAGCATGTCCAGACAAATTTTGTTAAAAAATATTATATGTTTGTAGACTAAGACTTGCAAGTATAATTAGAAAATCTGAGAATTGATCTAAATACTTAAGATTTTGATGTCTCTTTTACGTTGTTCTTGATCTGCAATCTAAACCATTAAATTATATAAGCCTTCAAATATTTTGCTATTATTAAAACTACTATTTCTGCCCATCTCTGCAAACTTTATTTAAAAAGAGTTTTCAGTATTCATATTGATATTGTTTGCTAAATATAAAAGATCACCAACATTATGATTATAGATATATTTAGTAATTAGATTGCTTCAAAGTTAAATCTTTGGTATAAACTTTTTTTAGAATTTGGCTTGTCTTGTTTCAATATAGTATTTTGCAAGTTATATATATAGTTATATATGTAAGTATATTATTAATTTAATTTTAATTAAAGCTTTACTGTAATGTATTACATATAGTACTCTCTAGTTTTTTCAAAAAAAAGATTAATTAAACCGATCCAATTATTAAAAATTATATATATATTTTAAAAACTTGATTATCTTGAACTTTTTTACAATAATCATATAAGCGAAAAGAATTAGTAGTATATTGTTTATATAAAATAAATCATATAAGGGGAGGGCCATTTATCAGCTGATATTTTTTTATTAAGAGGCTACCCTCTATTTGATTTTAAATAAAAAATTTTAATTGGCTAAACCATATACTTAATAATTTTTTTTTACTCTCCTCCTCTCTAAAAAATCAGCTGATTTTTGGCACTCCCCTAACTAGATCTTCAATTTTTTACTTAGATTGCTAAATTATTTCACTATCCAATAATTGCAATTCATTTTCAAAAAGTTTTTTATATTTTATAGCTATGTCTAGAAGAAATTTTTTTGAAAAAAGCTTCTAGACAATAACTTCTCTTCTTGGTACACTATTATGAGTAGTATAAGTAAACACTCGAGTAATATAAGCTTTATAAATTGGTCTGTCTAAGCCAGTACAAGTATACTATTTTGTAGTAGAATAAACATCTTTCAAAGTTGGTAAAAAAAAATTTAAAATTGAACTGATACTATCTTTAAGTTTGCAACTGTTATTAATATGACTCTTAAAATAAGCTTTATTATATACTCATTTAAGCTTAATAACTTTTTTGCATTTACAAGTTACTTCTAACTTACAATTAGATATATGAACTATCTTTAGATTTTTTAATAAGTGTTCTCTTGTATACTTACCTATTTTTGAAATTTTAGAACAAGTGCATCACATAGTGCGATATATACAATTATTCAAAATTATATATAAAAATCTAATTTTTATATATTAAAAGAAAAAAAAAAATTAATTCTCTAATAAAAAATAATCAAGTGATAAATAATATTGTCTTTATATAGTTTATAGTATCATCATTATAATTTATAGTATTATCATAGTGATATATAGTATTATTATTATAACTATAATATTATTATAATTATTTTTAACTTTATTATTAGTTTATAGTATATTTACAATAATATATAGCCTTATTACAATAGCTTATAGTATTATTACAATAATTCATAGCATTATTGTTGTAGTATATAATATTATTATTATATTTTATAGTACAGTATTTTTTTTAATATATTAGTAGCTTTGCTGGTATTTTTATTAGATTAAAGCAAATATACAAAATATTTTATACTATCTAAGCTATAAATCTAATATCACTTGACTTCTTAGTAGGTATCCAAGTATAGTCTGCTTTATTGGTTAAAGATATTGCTTATACCAGAGAGTTGTACCAAGCTAGCTAGTAAAACCATAATAAAATGGTTTCAAATCAAAAAAATTTTTAACTACATTTAATTGGTAATTTTCTTTTTCTAAACTATCCTTCTTTTTAATAGACAATCTATCTGTCATCTAAAGAGGATCTGCAAATTTTATAAATAAATTTTACTATTAAGCTAAATGTGAAGAGATTACATCTAAACTTTTTTT